CTTATGCTATAGCAAAATAAATTAATGCAAACACTGCATCAATTAATGCAAAGCCTCACTGCATCAGAGTAATTAACACTGCAGGCCGGCCCTATATATGTTGACATGAATGAAAATACACAATAGTGAGTGGCATGAAGACTGCATCATCTTCTGAAGGTCATTGTATGATATGATAAAGGACAACAATTCATTGCTTTATGTTTTAAAACCATAAACATAGACTAAAGGGATAATTCACCCAAAAGTGAAAATTGTGTCATCATTTACTCACCCGCATGTCATTCCAAAACTGTATGATTTTTTTTTTTCTGCGGAACACACTCACAAAAAAAAGAATATATATATATAGGTCAAAGACATTAAGATGTCCGCATCAAAAGAAATGTACAAAAGTGATTTTACGTCCAGAGAAAGCACATTAAATGTAAGTAAAGTGTCTACTTTTATGGTTTCAAATATGTTTTTGGAGAATAAAATGTCAACATTTGGTTGAAATAATGTTACATTGTCATTCAGTGTAACACAATATTTATGTAAAAATTCAAACAACATGCTTATTCTGACGTGTACATATTAAAATATATATAAGAATAAGGGAGCATATTCAATTTGATTGTTTTAAATGAGTAAAAATTCTTACTGACAAATGGGCAAAACCTAGGATAGTGGCAAATTTAAAAAAAAATGTAAAATTACAACTAATTAGTATTTGGGGTGAAAGTAATTAGTCTTTTAATATTCATTGACCTGCATATGTGAGAGAGACAGGCAGCCAGAAACACAGCAGCAAGACAAAAAGGGCTCTGTGGCCCTGACGGCAATGTGGGAGCCCCTCACTGGTCTCACTGGCAGGAGATCATTGTTATTCTCAGCAAATCAGAGCATGGATGACACACAACTTCATTCTTAGAAACATTTTCCCTCTATATGCGCGCGCACACACACACAGAGACTATTATTTGGAGCCAGCCAGCTATTCAGCTGACAGACAATCTTATGCTATAGCAAAGTAAATTAATGCAAACACTGCATCAATTAATGCAAAGCCTCACTGCATCAGAGTAATTAACACTGCAGGCCGGCCCTATATATGTTGACATGAATGAAAATACACAATAGTGTGTGCCATGAAGACTGCATTATCTTCAGAAGGTCATTGTATGATGAAGAAACAACAGTTCATTGCTGTACTGTTTTAAAACCATCATATAGAATTTAAAGGGACAGTTCACTCAAAAATTAATGACATTTTAGTGGGTGTCTTCTGTAAATCAGGGGGAAATCTATGATATTAATTTTTTGCTCGGAAAAACAAAAACAAAATTGCAATTCAATTAAACAGAATTAAAAAAAAAAAAAATTGGGGGGAAAAGCAACAACAATTTAAAGCAGTATTACACGTATTGTTTTTATGCTTAAACCCTTTTTCGTCTTTGACCCATATATACAGTATATATATATATATTGGTCCATATATGAAAGTCAGTGTTGTTTGGACCCCATTGACTTTCAGTCTTTTTGTGTGTTTGAGAAAGATGTTAAATATATTAAAAAGATCAAATACTAATCAGTAAAACAATGTTTTTATTTGTTAATAATGTGTTTGTTTGTTCCTTTCTATAATAACATGTCTCTCGAGATGGATGGATGGATGGATGGATAGAAATAATCACATATCTAAAAAGATATGTAGGATGTTATAGAATAGCTCCAGTCCTGGTCAATACAGCGTTCCAATAAGGGAACAGCTATGACGTCACTGTGAATGGTTTATTCCTTAGCACCGTTGTGTGTCAGGGACTATATCTTCAATTGGAAGGAAGACACAAAATGAATTTGCGGCTTTGTGGCCTTAATTTGTTTAAAGCAGTAAATGTTTTGTAAAAGCAATAAGGCACTTGAGGCTGTGCTGTATTGTGAATATAGTCAGTCTGCTGCACAATATAACGCAACTAAATAACACAACCCGTATTATATCGCTGAATTATATATCTGACTAAACTTTAAAAACTTAGTGTTTACATAACTATACATAGTGCACTGATGATACAATGATGTATACTGTTAATTTCCTCCACTTTGACGGCAACACTAGGTTACTTACTAAAGCACCGCTTCATAACACTAACACTGATGCTGGCGCCCTCTAGTGTTCAGAACTATATGCTAGCCCAGCGGTGACAGACACTAACAGCACTCTTTACTGAAACAGGATGTAAAGTGAAATCATATGTTCAGTTAATCAACACTCCAACACTCCCACTTTCTATGACTAAAAAAATAAATAAAATAAACGGCATCGTCATAATCACAGCTGAAATACCAAAAATAAAAAACATATTTAGCTAATATGGTGGCCTCAGATATTGTGTTGGACAATGGAGGGATTTAAAGAGTCAAGTTCAGAACCACTACTGTACATTGAATGCTTATGGTTTTCATGTCATCTCCAGGGAAGACAGAATGCAGAATTATTAGAGCGTTATCGTGACACACCACCTTTCAAACTCCTTGAACAGAACCAGCTTAGATGAGATAAAGTACCTAAAGCCCTAAACTAATTCAAGCCTGAAGAGTCTTCGCCCTGTGAATCTATTAAGGAGATGTTGGTGAGATTATTTATTTGCCTTTATTTAACCAGGAGAGAAAATTACTTTAACAATGAATAGTTCTACATTAGACACTTTTATAAATACATGGACAGGAGCAGCAGAAAGTGTATACATTTGTGTTTTCATGCTCGTCTTTCCTGTTATCATAGCAGTTTATAATACATCAGCAAATATGAAACAAAGTTGAATTTTGTCTTTATTCTTTTTTGTGGACTTTCTATTATTCATTTAATTAATTTATTTTTACAGATGCACAAATTAAATTTTTGGGTCAAATTAAAATTTTATGAAAAACATCAGCTTCTTTGTTACTGAAATGGCAAAAATAATTTTGAGATTATAAGGTAACAGCAGTAAACTGAGAAAATTAGCCAAGTTCAAACTTGCAATCAAACAACATATTTCACGTTAATGTTTACAAATGTAAAAAACAAATTTTTTGTATAAAATTACAGAAACAATGCTAAAATGGAACTTAAAATGGAATTTATTAAAACCAAGCAATTCCACTGTAAGAAAAACTAAAAATTCCACTAACAGTTTAAAGATGCATCCCACATGGATTAATCTAAAAACTGTCACAAGCAGCACTTTGCAAATAAGAGACACACAACATAGTGAATAGCTCAGAACCTTTATTCAGAGGGCAACAAGAGTAAAATATAAAATGTATAGGGCTGTTTTTCCTTTCTTTCAGGCAACAGAAATTAATTTCAGGACCATTGTACGGGAGAACTACCCCTAGAGGAAAAGAGTCAAGAGTGGTGCGCTCTCAATGCTTGTGAAGCCCCTCGAGATGTCTGAATGGATGAAACCCCACAGTTCACCCTCCTCTGCCATCAGTGCTCTAGTTCTCATTGCAAAGTTCTCTTTTCCTTTTAATTTTTCGCTACATCTCTGCAGTTTTTAAAAAGTAAAAAAGAAAAAAAAAAAGTCCTTCAAAAAAAATAAAATGGAGCGACCACATCTAATGTTCGGTTTCTTAACATTTACAGTATATATAAATACTTACATAAATATCTTACATGGAAAACCTAATTCAGAGAAGGTAAAAAGCAGAGGAGAACGTTGGAGGAGGGGGACGGGGAGAACTGATACGGAGTGTGTTTGTGCGAGTGTGCATTTCATGTTAGAGGCAGAACAGTGCGGACACATGGATGCGGGCGTTTATGTGGGTAACAGTATAAACGGCGCGTTCAGTTAGCCCAGTATGGAGAGCTGCTGTGGTTGGACTTGCCCTGACTCTTCTGCATGCTGTTGGCCTGACTGCGTTGGCCCTGCAGAGGACAAAAAGAGTCAACATTAACCCTATACAGCACACTGGATCATATTTAATATGCAAATTAACATCAAAAATTTTGCTGAAAACCCTGTTGCACACAATCTACTACATGCCTTCCATCACCTGTTTGAGAGTTTATACTGAAGTTTAGCAAGGAAAAGGCATTTGAGTATAACTGTAAAAGTGTCCCCCTTCAGGTTGTGGTTCACACGTCTTTATGCAGTGAACATTTTCTGGACTGAAGCTACTTAGGTTTACTTGATTATCCATATATCATTAAATAGAAAAATCACATTAAAATGCATCAAATTTGATAAATCAGGCTTCTGAATAACATTCATCGTGTTACACTGCATTGTTTTGCCCCCAGAATAAATTCTACAGCGCTTTGATAAAACTAAGCATTTACCATATTATTGAGAGATACAATGAGAGGGCTAATATTTATATGCATTTTAAGTAGACTGTTGCACATTAAGAGTTAACATAAATCCATCTTTTTGGCCATTTAGATATAAGCAACTGCACCAAATTTCATATTGTTGTTCCATTTGGGCCCCTGAATAAAACTGGGTTTTTTTTCTCTCCATATCAGCGCCATATTCTCCTATATCATATATGAGCCATAAAAGCCTGATGTATCAAACAGTACTCAAAACACTTTTTTTATTATTATTAGAATTTTTTTTTTAAGATTTTGTCTAAAGGTTGAATAAACTTCCATTTCACAGAGTTAAGACACAAACTGCTTCATAGGAAAAAGCTTTAAAACATTTCCGAAACACCTCAGAGCATTTGATTGTGAATACTTGTAGGCATGATGTACCTGCGTGTCTTGAGCCATGTGGTGGTGCAGTAACTGTGAGGGGGGCTGCTGATGGGGCAGTATGTGAAGGAAGGGTGCAGGGGCATATCCGGGGGCACCTGCGGGGTTAAGCGGGCCGGTTCCTCCCAGAGCTGAGGGCAGGCTGAACGCAGGGCCGGCTGCTGTGGGGAAACCGTGCTTGTCAAATGACTAGAAGGGTCAGAGAAGAGAAATGAGATTAATAAATCAGATAAATAAATAGCCTTGAAAGGACACTTTAAGTTAAATTAATATTTTGTTTTAAATATTAATACATTTTTAAAAAGTTAAACTTTATATAGCATTTATGACAATAGCAAAAATATAACTAAAATAACACTTTTTATTTTATTTTTAAAATGGGGTCTGCCAACAGGTAAACCTCAAATATCTCGGGTCAAAAACCAAAATAATAATAATAAAAAAATAAGGAATATTTAGTTTCTAATATTAATACGATTTTAAAATGTTAATTTCAAAATTAATTTAAATAGCAAAAATACAACAAATAATAATTTATAATATAACACACATATATATATATA